CATATCATAACTACGTACAGAAACCTTCATAAGGGGAAATACATGTCCACCAAGCCTCAACCTGTAGCTCTCCACAAACCCCATTAATCATGAGGATAATCCCAGTATAGGACCTCCAACAACAGCAAACATAGAAATGTTGTACGGCGGGTTTATGGAAACTCTTGTCGTCACCAGCCACAGGTGACTCGCTCCAGCAGAGACAGTGTCCTCACTCCGATAACCGGCGAAATGTAGATATGGGGAATTGGACTAGGGAGTAATGGTCGGGGGTCCAGTCTCCCTCTCGAGTAATCTGAGGGGGGGGGGGTCCGGGTGGTAAGCTCAGAAAATGAGAAGAGAATGTATCGGGATACGTACGTAGATGGCTCCAAGAGAACAGCAATATATTGGCCCTTCCCTTAGCTGCTGGGGCTAGGGGGAGGAAATGTTCTCTAAAATATAGTTTTGATCAGGCCATTGGATTCGTCATACAGACTCTTTCACAGGGGTTCGGCCCATAATACCTTGAGTGATTGATTATCGAGTGAGCTTTCCTAAGGTTTGTTGTTGCCGGCAACAGGACCTAGAGGCTCAATGGGGGATGAATTGGGGTGGGGTTGGGGGTTTGTGACATTGTGGGTGTAGCTTTGGCACTTGCTTAAATGCCTTCGGGTTGCAGAGAAATGTGAGTTGGGGAAAGGGTAGGGGGATGTTCTGGAAGGCCAAAAATGAATTGAGGGAGGAGGATGCGAGGGGAAGGGGAGGGAAGGAAGAGGGAAAGAAATGGAGGGGGAGGATGGCTTAAATAGGGGAGGATGGGTGGGCACACGCACCCCCAGTGAACCCGGTCCTTAGGAGTGGGCACGCTGTGGAAGTGAGAATCAGCAGCTACCGTATGGTGCAGTACGAACAAACTGCCCTACCCGCCGGCTTTTATTTAGACCATTGCGTACAGTACCAGCACACTGGCTTTTAGACTACGAATACACCACTGGCCCATCCCGGGGCTTTCTTTCTTTCTTTCTGCTTCCCTAGCCTCGAGCAGGCTTACACTACCCTCCCTCCTGAAGCTTTAGCTGAGTGGTCTTCCCTCTGCAATATGGTGCGGACTCTTGGTTGTATCTAATGATTTGTGAGATGGGAAACCGTGTACTGTACCGCAGAGCAACCTTCGCCATCCTGTACTTGAGGGGAATGATCAAAGTGCTAGACAGATGCCTAGCAACAAGCTGATGTGGCATCCTGATCCATCTCACGCCGCAGGGTGATCTGAGGGATCAGATGTCGGCCTCGTGCCGATATCCCCTGGTGTGGTGAATGGGGTAAGGGATGGGAAGGGGATTTGGTCACGGATTTGAGCTTGAGACGCCAGCGGCAGACTGTGACTGAAACAGCCCCCAACCGTCTTGGGAGAATTTGGCCGGGTAGTGGGCGTTTTGCGGCTTGGAAGCACCTCCGCCAAAGGGACTTGTTCTCATCTGTGCGTAAGGGCTGTCCTCTTGTTGGGGTTGGGTTGGGCTGACCACATGGATTATCCCTATACCGAACCGTGCTATGCGGGTGGTTTGTCATGGAGTCTCGCTCAGTATCATACTCGGCTAATTGGGAAACGAGGAGAGTGACGGGTGATGATATAAAGTTATGACATCATGGTTTTTGACACCAATAAGTTAGCGTGCAGTACCGGTATCATACGGTACTCGAGTACCTAATTGGTAGCCCTGGACCCTGCCAAGGGATCACGAGACCAGTTACCCTCCTTTCCTGAACCTTTCAGCGACAATTTTGCAGTACCCACAGTGGCAATCTGTACTACTACTACCGGTCCGACATCAACTCTAGCACTGAATGGCGCCTTCAACAAAGCGGAAACGCCCGGGAGTGGAGGAAATTTCTTTCGATGCAGAGCAGCGGCGAGAGTACCTCACTGGATTTCACAAACGTACCTTCATATTCCTCTGGTACTCGGGAACGCAGGCTAACAGCCGTAGGAAAACTTGCTCGGGCTAAAAAGGCCAGGGAGGAAGCCGAGAAGGCTGCGAGAGCGGAGAGATTGGAGGATAGGCGAAAGGTATTTTCCGCTATAGGTTCGATGAGTATCTGGACTGATGGTTCCTAGCTACGAGAATCTCGCAAGCAAGAATTGAGCGCGCACGTCACCGCCATTCAGAAGCTCTCTCGAGAAGCTGCGCTCGAAGCTGGCGGTATTGAAAGTAGTGGTGGTGACGAAGCCGAATGGGGCGGTATAAACGCCGATGAGAACGAGGAGGATGGCAATATTCATGGAGTTGGTGGGGAGGATGAATATGTCGACGAGGAAAAGTTCACTACGGTTACGGTTGAAGCAATGGATTTAGGGAAGGAGGAAAGTGAGGATGAGGGAGTTGTTGCCGAAAGAATGCGGAAGCGAGAAGAGAGGGAGAAGGAGGAAGAGAGGCTGATGCAGAAGAAGGAAGCCAGGCAAAAGAATGGGCCCAAAGGGAAGAGAAAGAAATTTCGATACTTAACCAAGAGCGAGAGGCGGCAGGATCGAGCCAAGGTAAAGATGGGAAAAGCGAGGAGGAGAGGGGAGAGGGAGGGAGACAAGGAGGGGCAGAGGAAGGGAGGGAGATCGGGTAAAGGGAGGAAGAAGTGAGGCTGCTGGCGGGATCATGTATAAATGTATGATATTAGGTGCAAAGTAATAATGGTCCCTTTAGATATGGGAATCTCGTATCATTTCGTTGCGCGGCCCCTGGTCCATTGGATGTCTGCTGGGACACGGTGGGTACGGTACTGGTGAGTTATGATCCGTGTTTGGGTAGGTTATTTTGAGAGGGCATTCGGGTGATTGATGGTCTCAAAGCTCTTGTGAGCGGTACCGATACCACAGGAGTACTGTACGGTACAGCACATACCGATAAATTAGGCACTTCTTCTGGGAAGGTGGTGCGGATGGCAACCAAAGCCTGCATTCCTGGATTCCGGTATCATACCGGCATCATATCATATCAGAAATAGCTGGGGGTGTTAGCTCAGCCAGGTTGCCCTCCCCGGTTTGGTAGGGACCTTCGACTGGGGTGTTGAGTTGATAAAACCCTTGGAAAGGAGGGCGAGCATTAACTTACTCGTAGGGATCCTCGAACTTTGGCGAGGTTTGGGACGAGCTCAGAAAATGTTGATCTGCCGCTGGCAAAACAGCCAATTGGAATCGCGAACCTAGCAGAAGGTTTGAGGATCCTCAAAAAGGTATGAATAACTCCAGAACAGGACCAAAAGCTGTAAAGGGTTAGAGGAAGGGTATCGGTTTTCTCCACCTTACTAGAGTTGGTGATTGGCAATTCATCCGGCTCGACAGAAAGTGGGGCAAATGGGGGGTAAAAAAAATGAAAAGCATCAGTCACGTGATAAATTAAAACTTCTCAAGCTATGACACTCCATCTTCACTCTTCCTCCTTTGAATTGAAACACACGGGCCCCACGCAATTAACCCAAATATGGTACAGGATTCGATACCTGCTCGTCTCGCTCGCTGGGAGGAGCGTCTACGTTCTCTTACCACTCAATCACTCTCTACTGACTACGTTCGTCCGGATCCTCCCCGTATTATCGAAGCCGTCCATACAGTTGCTGTGCCCGAACCTGCTAAGCTCGCTTTACTGCAATTGGGAATTCTTGATGGATCGAACCCGGTTTCTCCCTTCACGGTGCTGCTTGCGGCCTTCACGGTGCTGGCTTTCAGACTTACCGGAGATGAAGACATCACAATAGGAACTACGGCGGAGAATAAGGAGCCATTCGTCCTGAGGACACCATTGACTGGTCAGACAACCTTTATTGACCTCTTGAGCCAAGTCAAAGAGGTGAGATGAGTCTCGATAGCGTGTCATCATTCCTCAGCATTTTGCTGACCCTGACCCCAGCTTGAAATTGAGGGTGCTGCGGATTCGGTGCCGTTTTCGCAACTTGTGAGCCATTTGCAGTCCAAATCAAAGGATCAGGCTCACCCGTGTCTGTACCATTTATCGCTTTACCATGCCCCGGATGCCCCCTCCAAGCAGTTCCTATCATCCCACGAATTGACCACCGACCTATCCATTTATGTTGAACTCAATTCCCCCGCCACTTCCCAGTCCCTCCGTTATGTGCCCCAGATGCCGAACATTACCCTCAGTGCACATTACAATCAACTGATATTTTCAAGTAAGCGCATATCTTTCATGGTCGATCAGTTGCTGCAGATAGTTCAATTTGGAGCAAAGAACCCTGAAATTTCCGTCGGGTCTATTCCCTTACAAACTCCTGAGCAGCTTGCAATACTCCCGGACCCTAGGAAAGATCTGAATTGGGGCAGCTTTAGAGGAGCAATTCATGACATATTCTCTGCTAACGCAAAGAAACACCCTGACCGGGAATGCGTGGTTGAAACACCCGATTTTTTTGAGGAAAATGGGAAAAGCAGGATCTTTACGTACAGGCAAATTGACGAGGCATCGAATATTCTAGCACACCACTTCATAGCTAAGGGGGTGAAGAGGGGTGATGTGGTTATGGTGTACGCTTATAGAGGTGTGGATCTTGTCGTTGCGGTTATGGGGGTCTTGAAGGCAGGCGCTACGTTTTCTGTTATTGATCCGGCATATCCTCCAGCGAGACAAAACATCTATCTTCAAGTGGCCCAACCTAGAGCTCTAGTGGTTATTGCGAAGGCCGGAACATTGAGCCCTGTTGTGCGAGAGTATATCAAAAATGAGCTTTCTATCTATACGGAGGTTCCGGCGCTGGCAATTCAATGTGACGGTGTCTTGGTAGGAGGTGAGATTGGTGGAGAGGATGCCCTAGCGGACCAAGTTACTCTCAAGGCCCTCGGCACCGGAGTTGTGGTTGGCCCTGATTCTACACCAACCTTAAGTTTTACTTCCGGAAGTGAAGGCATTCCAAAAGGTGTTCGAGGACGACACTTCAGTTTAACCTATTACTTTCCATGGATGGCCGAGACCTTTGGGTTATCTGAGAACGACAGGTTTACTATGCTGAGTGGAATTGCCCATGATCCCATTCAGCGCGATATTTTTACTCCACTTTTCCTGGGCGCCAAGTTGTTAGTGCCAACAGTTGATGATATCGGCACTCCTGGAAGACTTGCCGAGTGGATGGACGAAAATGGTGCTACAATTACTCATTTGACACCTGCTATGGGACAGTTACTCTCTGCACAAGCTACGAGTTCTATCCCTTCACTCCACCACGCCTTTTTCGTTGGTGACATTTTGACTAAGAGAGATTGTCTGCGGCTTCAGTCTCTCGCTCGGAATGTTAATGTGGTAAACATGTATGGCACCACCGAGACTCAGCGTGCTGTCTCTTACTTCGAGGTTCCGTCCCTCAATGACAACGCCACGTTCTCTCAAACCCAAAAAGACGTTATCCCCGCTGGAAAGGGAATGTTGGACGTACAGCTTCTGGTTGTCAACCGTCATAACCGCGAGCAGATATGTGGAGTAGGCGAGATTGGCGAAATCTATGTCAGAGCTGGGGGTTTAGCCGAGGGCTATCTACGCATTCCGGAGATGACTGACATGAAGTTTATCAGGAATTGGTATATTCCAGAAGACCGCTGGGCTTCTCAGGAAAGCACAGGAGACGAGCCTTGGAGAGAATTTTATATGGGGCCTCGAGATCGCTTATATCGGACCGGAGACTTGGGCAGATATACCCCGGACGGGGAGGTTGAATGCAGTGGGCGTGTGGACGACCAGGTTAAGATTCGTGGTTTCCGTATTGAGTTGGGTGAAATTGACACCAGCCTTTCCCAGCATCCCTTTGTCCGGGAAAATGTTACATTGGTCCGCAGAGATAAGGACGAAGAGCCAACACTGGTTTCTTATATTGTACCACTACATACAACTGAAATTGACGGACTCCTTAGTGCGGATGAGACTGCTGATGAAAACATTGTGGGGGACGATATTGTAAGGGGTTTGAGGAGGTATCGCAAGCTTATTGCAGAAATTAAGGCGTATCTGAAAGGGAGACTACCATCTTACGCTGTGCCGACGGTGGTTGTGCCCCTGACCAGGTTACCTTTAAATCCCAATGGCAAGATTGACAAACCTGCCCTTCCGTTCCCTGATACGGCTCAACTTGCGGCTGCTTCCCGTCGAACTAGGAGAGGTACGAACGCTGCTACGGATCTTCAAGAGGTGGAAGATCAGAGTCTCACCCCAGTACAGAGAGACCTTCGTGGTATCTGGCGCGGCCTTTTGACACACGCTACGATACCTATCGGTTTGGATGACAATTTTTTTGATATCGGCGGTCACTCAATTCTGGCCACTAGAATGATCTTCGAAGTTCGCAAGAAATTTGTTGCAGATGTGCCATTGGGATCGATTTTCAAGCATCCCACTCTAGGAGCGCTGGCTTCTGAAATTGAGAGAATGAAGGGAAGCGGAGAATTGAGTATTCAAGACATAGGGGGAACTAGTAGTACAGACTCTGAGGATAGCAAGATGTCAAACTATTCAGCTGATGCAAAGGAGATTGTGAAGGCTCTTCCAGAGTCTTTCCCGGCTGCGGAGAAGCCAGCATTGGGTGGAAATGTTTTTTTGACGGGGGCTACTGGTTTCCTGGGTGTTTACTTGCTAAGAGAGCTTCTTTCGAGGTCTAATCCTGCCATTGGAAAAGTATTTGTGCACGTCCGGGCAAAGAACACCGATGCTGCAATGGAGAGGGTAATCAAGAGTTGCGAGGCGTATGGTGTTTGGGATCCTTCATGGAGCAGTAGGATTGTGGCCGTTGTCGGTGAACTGGGGGGTGAACGTTTGGGAATTAGTGGGGCCGAGTGGAGAATGCTGACCGAAGAGGTTGATGTTATCATTCATAATGGAGCACAGGTATTGTCTCGTCTTTTTACTTTTACATGGCATTTACCAACACCTCTGCTAGGTCCATTGGGTATACCCATACACCAAGCTCAAGCCGGCAAATGTCACTGGCACCGTAGACACACTTCAATTGTGCGCCACTGGCAAGCCAAAGTCATTTGCCTTTATCTCGTCAACCTCCGTTCTCGATTCCGATCATTACGTGAGACTCTCTGATACTATCATGGAGACTGGTGGTGCAGGTGTTCCCGAGTCGGATGACCTTGAGGGGTCAGCACTTGACCTTGGTACTGGATATGGGCAGAGCAAGTGGGTCGGAGAGTACATTGTTCGTGAAGCTGGTCGCCGTGGCCTGGGTGGCTGCGTCATTCGTCCTGGCTACATCGTCGGCGACTCAAAGTCGGGGGGTGATTTCTCCCCAGGATACTTTGTTATGGACATCAACGAAAAATACTAACGGAATTAGTAACCAACACCGACGACTTCCTTATACGCATGATTAAAGGCTGTGCGCAACTCGGGCAAATGCCGGACATCCATAACACCGTGAATATGGTACCGGTGGACCACGTCGCCCGGGTTGTCGTCGCCTGCGCATTTAATCCCCCAGACAGCCCCCTCCCCGTGGCACATGTGACCAGTCACCCAAGACTCCGCTTCAACGAATTCCTAGGCACTCTCGCGATATACGGGTACGACGTTACAAAAGTGGACTACATCCCCTGGCGCATTGCGCTAGAGACACACATTGTCGAGAAATCTAAGGATAACGCATTGTACCCCTCCCTCCCCCTCCCGTTCCTTGTACAGGGAGGAGCTAATATGAGAAAGGTACCCTCTCCTGCACTTCGTCCTCGACAACCTCCCTTCAAACACTAAAGCCCCGGAACTCGATGACTCGAACGCCGTCACCGCGCTTCTCTCGGACAAGGAGTGGACCAGACAAGACAGCTCCTACGGCGCGGGGGTGAGCGTAGAGCAGATGGGTATTTATCTGGCGTACCTTATTGGCCTTGGGTTCTTGCCACCGCCGAGTAAGAAGGGTGAATTGGAGTTGCCGGTCGTGAAGATTGGCGATAGACAGCGGGGGGCGCTGGAAAGTGTGGGCGGCCGCGGGGCTCTTGTTTAGCTGGCTTTTTGTTTATTAATTATCGGGTAGATTGGTGGAGTGGCTTGATGTGTGATAAAAGCTTGATCTTTATCTAGTTGTTGAATTGCATGCAATGCAGACTGGGTGATGCCCCAAGGGGAATTATCTAGTACTCTATTCGGCAACAGACACTATCCGCATATGGATCACGAAATGTTGCTGTAAAGATGGGGGTTGTGCCGTACGGTGCGGTCTGTCTAAGAAAGAAAAGGGAAAGAAGTGTTAGAAAAGATGATTGCGCGTCCAAGATACAATGTCATTATGTCTCTTATTGCTCTCATTCTGTGTTTGCTTGATGGTACCACTACATACATTTCCTTTCTCTCATATTTCTCTCCTTCTCCTCTTCGAGAGCAATAGCAAATCAATCAAGATCTTCTTCTTCTCTGATTCCAAATATCCATCAATAGTTCCAACAGGTTATGAGCCCGGGATTGACGCAAACCAATTCCACTGCCAAAAGTTACTCATCCTTAACGTCAAACCTCCTTCTTGTCTTCCCAATATTCCTACTTTTTCTTCACCTTGCCTTTGCACTTACTCTTATCTTAATTGCCCTTTGTCGACTGCTATCCCTCCGCCTAACATCATGTCGGACCTCTCCAATTCCAGAAATTCATTTAATTCTAAGTTTGTTGGTACAATCGCTCACCTAGATCACCTCAATTACAACATTTGGTGCCCCAATATTCAGATTCACCTTGAAGCTATTCAAGGGTTTGGCCTCGTTACCGGTGAATTGAATACACCTATACTCTTAGAGGATGGATCAAACGATGATGAAATACAAGAATTCCAAGTTCTTGAGGCAAAGGTGAAAGGATTTCTTCTTGCTACTTGCTCATTACCGGCTAGAAGATATCTTACTGGTATAGCAACTCCCCAGGAAATGTGGACTATATTGAAGGAGCGCTTTGACAACACTGCTTCAACCAAGGCAAGACTCTCTATTCGAAAGCAGTTCTATACCACCAAGCCGATCTATGGTCAACCTCTAAGCAACTTTATTTCTACACTTCACTCGCTACAATACCAACTTACAGGAACGGACCATGCGATCGATGATGAAATCTTCAAAGACCATTTACTCCAATCTCTACCCTCGTCATATAATACCTTAGTGGAGATTATCCAGGAACGTGAAAGTTCAATTACGGTTGCAGAAGTGATCCATAAAGTCTTGCAAGCGGAAATGTCGAAGGCAAACAAGGACCCGATGCAGCTGGGAGAGCAGGAAGGTAGAAATTCAAATACCATACAGGAAGGTTCAGGATTGCTTTCAAAGAATACGCCTGGTCGGAGATCCTATTGTGCCAGTGGACAGGGCCGCCAGGGATTCTCCAATACTACTACGGCTAAGCGATTTTTTTGGGAGCCATATGCTTGACCATTTAATGGAAACTGTAACAGGTGTGGCTGCCGAGGCCATAAGGCTGTTTCCTGTTCTCAAAGATCAAGCCCTTTACAGCCTCTTAATCTACAATCAGTCCAGTGCTTCTCCTGTGGTGAGGAAGGACATGGAACAAGAGGCTGTCCTTACGCTAGCCTGACTCAGTCTCAGGCAGCAAAGGGCAGAAGCTGTTTTGAAAAATGGTTAGCAGCTATCCGAAGTACGGTTGCAGGACCGGGGAATGTACTACAAGCGTCAGAAACTCAAAATCTTAATCGTCCAGGCCCTGGCCCCTCAAATTCCCTTTGACTAGTCGACTGACTTGAAGACAAATATAGAGCTGGCTTGAGTCTATATTGCAAGATACCGGAACGTGATTTTTGCTTTCTCTCTGTCTCTCCCTTTATTACCCCTTCTGCTTTTTCTTCTTCAAATCCTTTTATCTCTCAGTTCTCATTATTCCAATGGATTCTTGACTCTGGTGCATCGCATCATATGTGCAACTTCAAGTCTCAGTTTCTTAACCTAGAAAAACTTCCCAACAATTTACCTATTCGACTTGGTGATAAAACTCTAATTATTGCCACCCATGGTGGCCAACTCCGCCTAGGAAGTCTTAGCCTGAATGCGCTCTATGTTCCACAATTTCGGCTCTCCCTTCTTTCTATTGGTCAACTGGATATGATTAGCCTCAAGGCCGTATTTATGAATCATTCTTGCCTTATTACTAAGGCAGACTCGGATCGTCTTGGTACAAAGGATACTCGTATCATACTTCAGGCTACCTATGTTGATGGTCTATATGTCCTGGATACCTCCGAGTCCACTCTAGCTAGAGAGGACTTGGAAGATACCGATAATCTCAATCTGGAGTCTGATTATGAAGCAACTGGGAAACCTGAGGTGCTGTTTTCCCAAACTAAATTACCCAAAGATATTTGGTATTGCTGGCTTGCACATCTGCATCCGGCGGCAGTCAAGGGAATTGTAGGAGTTGCGCTTGACTCTAAACCAAAGGAAATTGCAGATCTTGATGCAATAGGGGTCCTAGACTGTTCAACCTGTGTCCTATCCAAGCAGTGAAAAAGAAGAAGTCAGATACCTGCTAAACGGTCTCGGAGTCCATTTGAGCTCATTTACTCTGACACTTGTGGCCCCCTACTACAATTAAATGGAGGCTCCAAGTACTACATTCTCTTTATTGATAATTATACTCGCGTCGTTTTCATCTATTTCTTAAAGGCCAAAAGCTCTGAGGCTTGTCTGAAGTTCTTTGAAAATGTTCTTAAGTATTTGGCTACCCAATATCCTCAGTACTCGGTGAAAAGGTTTCGTTCAGACAACGGCTGCGCTGAATATGATAATGAGCAATTTTAGAACCTACTTACCAGAAATGGAATTGTCTTTCAGCCCTCTCCCCCATATATACCGCATATGAATGGTGTTTCAGAAAGGATGATTCAAACGCTGAACTCCCGTGCTCGCTCTCTTCTTATTGATAGTCATTTGCCAATGACCTTTTGGGCAGAAGCAATTAATACTTCTGTTTACCTTCATCGCCAGTCTCCTACATCCACATTGGAAAACAAGTCACCACTAGAGGTTCTCTGTCCGGAGGCACCTGTTACTTTACAGCATTTACGACGCTTTGGGTACTTAGCATACCATCGTGTACCAGATATGGTTAGGACTTCTAATGAAGTCAAGTTTACTCCACGCTCTCTTCCATATATGATGATTGGATATGGTGAATCAACAAAGATTTGGAGACTATAGGACTTTAGAGGAAACAATGGAGCTGGGCGCGCTATTCACAGTTCTAGTGTTGTATTCTGTCAGATTGAGAATGCAATCTCTTCATGCTCAGGAATTTCGCCTCCTGCGTCCGAGACAGTTCTCTTACAACCTTCACTTTTTGAATCAGAAAAGAGTTCAACAGGCTCTTCCAGTTTGAATACTTTTGATCCCAAGCTCAATCTACCAGTTGAGCTTGAGCAACCGCTCAGCACTCCTGAGCTTGACTTGCTTGCGGTTGAGGATCATAGAGGTCAGTTGAATAATTTCTCCTTGTCTCAAAATAGTAGACTTGGACTTCAAAAGATATGTTCTTTTTCTCTTTCTCTTGCATTATTTCTCTTTAATATCTATTCTATTTCCTGCCCATCAAAAATAAAAGGTTGCTACTATCTCTCTCTTGTAGCTCGTCTCTGTTTAGTACAGGTAGAAGATGGCTCCTTGTCTCTGATCTTGCCTCTATCTGCGTATAGGCGGAAGATAGTTCTCTCTCTCTAGTCATGACTCTCTCTGTGTGAAGGAGAAACACTGTTGTCTCTCTCTCTTCTAGCTCTTCACTGTTTCCGTACAGGTAGAAGATAGTTCGCTCTCTCTGATCTTACCTCTGTCTCCGTATCAGACACAGGCAAAGATGTATTCTCTCTTACAAACCACTCTTACTCTCTCTGTTGTTGGTTTTGTTTCTACTGGGTTGAAAGAATACCAGCATTGCTTTATTCATATTACTATATTATAGTAAAGACATGACTTCTAATACTTTAAATATAGAAGATCAAGATCTAGAGATTGATCCCGCTCAGGGCAATAAGCTATCTCCAAGTCCTGTGGAGGCATCTATTCAAGCAGAAGACGTAATCGAAGAGCCAGCCAGTCTTGCGGATGAGGAGATTAATGAAGTCTCTATTCCATGGCAGTCACGCAAAAGACCAAGAGATCTCCGGAACTACAATATCTTAAAGCGTGTTCATGATGAGTTTGTAAGAGAAAGAGAGCAAAGACAACTCAACAATGCTGAGGTTGGATCGGTACTTGCAGTGCAAGTAAACTCGATGCTTGACGGTATAGAACTACAAGATCCAAGGACGTTCGAAGAAGCCATGACTTCCGATCATGCATTGGAGTGGAAGCAGGCAATCAATGCTGAAATAGAGGCCTTGCTTGAAAGCAAAACCTGGGTTGGGATTATGGAGATTCCAGCTTCAAGCTATAGCTCATCCTCTCCCATTATACCAATTGGATCCAAGTGGGTATTTCGAATCAAACTAAATCCTGATAATACTCGACGATTTAAGGCTTGACTTGTTATTAAAGGCTATGAGCAGCGTCATAGCCTTGACTATGATACCACATATGCGCCTGTCAGCCGACTACCTACACTAAGAATTCTCTTGGCTACTGCTGCATTTTGACAGTGGTATATAGACCATGTTGATGTTGTTACAGCATTCTTAAACCCGGAAATTGACTGAGAGGAAGTCTATATGGAGCTTCCAGCTGGCCTTGCTGAAATTCGACCAGATATACAGTACTCTACTGTATTGCTTCAAAAGGCCCTTTATGGATTAAAGCAAGCACTTCGGTTATGGTATAAGGCAATTGATTCACTATTGGTATCAATGAAGTTTACCAAGTCATCCGCAGAGCCTAACCTCTATATCCGTGAAAACTTCTATTTAATCCTTTATGTTGATAATATGTTGATGATTTACAAGGATCCCGCTGTTGCTCAAGATGTTAAAAGATGTCTAAATGCCACTTACCAGATGTCAGACTTGGGACCAGTTAAGCGATTTCTTGGATTCAAAATCAAGCAACATGGAGATAGGTCCTACTCTATCTCCCAGGAACGGTACATCGATATCATTCTCCAGCGGTTTGGTATGGAACATGCCAATGGCGTTTCTACTCCATTAAATAAGCATGTTCATCTTTCAGAGTTCAGCAATAATAAACCTATTGATCAACACTCTTATCTTCAAAAGATTGGTGCTCTAATGTATCTATCTCTCAGTACACGCCCTGATATCACATATGC